ATATATATATATATATATATATATATATATTTTTTTTTTTACTTCTTGCCATCAACATTCAGTCAGCTGATGAACAGTCTGAGTTTAAATGCTGTTTTCAGTACATTACCCACACTGTTTGTTTTGGCTGCTGCTCCTGTTTCTTCTGTTTGCGTTTTAAAGCTCAGCTTGAGATCTGCTTACGAGCCAAAAACATGTAACTTCTTCCCTTACCTTATGATTGTGTGACCAGAAGTATCTTGTATCCAGGCTAAATCTAGCTGAGAAATCTGGGGTAAGCCTTAAAAATAAGACGACTGTAATTCATTTAGAAGATGGCCAAAGGTGCTGTAGATGAAACAATAATCTATGTTTTACGACGTGTTGATTGCCCTTTCGTAATGGCCTGAAAATTTGCATTTTGTGCGTGTTGTTCTCTTCAAAATGACATTAATTGTTAGGATTAACTTCGACTACTTCCACCATCTCTGTTCAGCCATTTCTTAACCTACCAGGAGTCAACACTGCCCTGTTTAGCTGCTCCAGGTCAAAGGTCAAACTGTATGAACCGAACACACTTACAGTATGATACAGTAAACAAAGATAAGCAGGAAGTGGACTGCAGCAGTCGTTACACCAAACCAAACAATGTGTGACATTTGTTTGCCTTTTCCCCTCACTATTACAGTGCACTGTATATGTGAGGTTGGATTAATTGACAACTTGACCAACTTTTAAGCCATAAATAGAACACATTAATTGTTAAGCATTAATAGGATGCTTTTACTTCCAAACTTTTATTCTTCTCTTCCAGTCAGCATTGCACAATACTGGAGCGAGTATGAAGACGTTAACTTGTGGATGGGTTCGTCAAAGTTCTGTCCTCTGCTCGGAGAGCTTAGCTTGGTGCTGCGGCGGACAGTCGGTGGAACAGGTGAGACTGGCGAGCCGAAAGCGCCGCTCTGTGATTTCAGAAAGCGGGAAGAGACCGTGTGTTTTCCGGAGCCGGTTTGTGTGTGGTGTTTCATCTGCTCCTGTAGAGTAAATGAGCGCGAGCCGAGTCTGAAGCAGGAAGAGAGGAAAGAGGAGGGAGAAAATGGAGGGTAGATACACTCTGCCGCCTCTACTGGCCACCTGCAAACCCTGAAGTGGGTGGATGGATGGATGGATGGATGGATGGATGGATGGATGGATGGATGGATGGATGGATGGACGGACGGACGGACTGTAACAAGACGCCAGGACAGAAGAAATATATAACTGACCAAAAACTTTTTCATAAATTACATTTGGTCTTTCCACAGGTTGTTTTTTTTTTTGTTGTTGTTGTTGGTTTTGTTTTTCTCTTGTGTTTCAACTGGTTTGTTGGTTGGATGGTGCAGCCAGTGTGTTCTTCTCCTTGTGTGTCTGTTTTGTATGATTATTGATGGGTGGCATCATCCAGATCTGTGTGAAGAGGGAGCCAAGGAGAAGAGATTGTTCGTTCCCTTTCTGTCTCCACTCCCCTGTGATAGTCCACAGACCAGATGCCCACTTTGGCATCGACTCGCTGCCAGCGTTATGTTAGGCACAGGGTGGGGAGGGAAGGGAAGGGGGCGTACAAACACACATGCACGTGCAGACACATTAGCGCACTGAGAGCAGAAGAGGCTGCAAAGGGGCACTCGTCCATCTGCCCGTCTCCGCTGCAGAGAGAGCACATCAGGATGTTTGTGTCTTCTGCAGGATGATCAGCGTTGAGTGTGAGTTTCTGTCTGGAAATCTGTTTGCTGTGACGAAGCCTTGCAGAAATGCAAATAAAAGGCTTCCTCTGGTTTTTTAGCACATCAACTCTGATGATGTTTAGACATCTTGGTTTGCAACTCTTACCTCAGTTTTGAGTTAAAAACCCAAAAAGGCATAAAGGACGAAAAAAAAAAAATCGCACTTAAGAAGTACACACATAAGGTTAACAATGAACTATTTCTAAGAAAAGAAACAACAATAAACATTTCCAGTTCTGATTCTGGAAACAGAATGTGTTTGTTTGCTTCGTTAAACCTGAGCAAACCAGAGCATGAGCTTGAATCTTGTTGGGTCCGCCCATGAAGGACCAAACATCTTTTCTTTCATTTTGTCGCTCTTAAATGTTTCAGACTATCAAATAAATTGTAGCACCAGAGAAAGATAGAAAGAAAAAGCAGCTATCTGGGTAATTTGGATCATGTTTGTCCTTAACTGACTTTTTCAAATTTTACTTTAAATAGTTACTTTTCGAACGAACCAGCCTGCTTCTGTTACAGATGTTTGCACACGAGGGATTGTTGTGAATCCTCTCTCCAGAAACACGATGGAGTTTGTCTCTCTCCTGCAATATTCAGAGTTAACCAGCAGGGCAAATGTCGCTCCCACAGACCTACTGCAGTCATCTACTGCTCTACTCCTCAGTGTTCGGCTTAAAAAAGCTTAAACAAAGCTAAATCACCGGCAGGCAACCCCTTCCCGCCCCATCCTGTGAGCTGCAGACTGTTTACATGTCAGTCACTAAAAGCACTCTTAATGTCAAGTTTAAGTACACGTTTATGAGTATGTTTCACATGAGCCTTCTGGAGTTTAATCTTTGACCCTTGGTATTTTTCCTGCAGATTGTCTCTTGTGGAGCTTCAGGCGTTGCCATGACAGCTGTGTAACCTGAGCCGCCAGTCAGGTAGGACAGGTAACCAAGCTCGTACGGACGACTGGAGCAGCAGGTGCGTGAGCAGGCAGGGCAAAAGTGAAAGAAAACAGGAGGAAAGAGGGAGCTAGAAACCTGGAAACACTGACGGTAATGAAGGATTGTGACAGATAAAAAAAAAAAAAAAAGAAAAACTATCCAAGCTGGAGGACGACAAAGAGACTCTGGACATGGATGATGGGACGTTTACTACCATCTCTCTGGCAGACGACTCAGGTACAGGAGTTGTTTTTAATCTCTAAAGATCTCTTAAAGAGACCAGATCCTTCCTCCTGAACCGGTTTCAAATTCAGCTCGATTTTGTTTGTTTTTTGCATAGAAAATTCACAGTGAGTGATTCACGAGTGTGACATAACTGTCCACATTTGAATAAACTAACAATTGTCCTACATTCAGCTCACTACACACCTGATAGACAGGACAAAGGGCCATGAGCCAGATGGTGTGGCTGTGTGGGTGTGCTCTGACAGGAACAGGACGAAGGCGCAGCTCTTAACAATACTTCGTCCAGTTCAACTTTCTCATCTAAAGACTCTCTCCACTCCTAAATATCAGATCACACCACAGATTTGAGCTGGAAATTAATAAATGTGACTACGTTAGAAATGGGCACATGAATCTTTATAGGCATTTTGTCCTACTGTCGGACACCTAATGAGACCAAAACTTGCCAGAATCATTTTTTAAGAGTTGTTTTGTACGGTTCTGCCTGATTCACAACATTTGACTTAAATGAGAAAACATCAGAGGAAGCACTTGAGGACGACGCTTGAAACACGCTGCTTCCTTGTGTGACGTAAAAAAAAAAAATCAAGACAAAGTGGGTAAAATATCAAGAAGTTTGTTCATTAAACAGACTATCCAAAGTGTTTCACAGGACGCCGACGTACAGCTAAAGGACAACAAAATCCTTTAATGTTTTGCTTAAAAGACAGCTTCATATGTTGGATATTAGGATTTAATACAAGAAAAAAATATGAATCACTCATCAGTAATAATGAGGCAAACAGTGTTGATGTAAGCAAACATATTTTGAGTTCTGATTTAAATGAGGCAGCAGTTTCCGCATATCCCTGGTTTTCAGGGAGTTTGTTCTAGAGCTAAAGAGGATTAACAACTAAAAACGTCTTCACCTTGTTTCGTTCTGGTCCTGGGAACAGTGGGCACACAGGTCTCTGAAGACCTGAGGGGTCAACATGGTTTGAATTTTTACCTGCAACTTAGAAACGGATTTTAACCCAAAAGCATTTAGTGCTTTAAAGACCAAGCCAAGAATTGTCACATATATCTAAATATCTTTTGGCAAACAAGGTTCTAGTACGATGAGTTAGAAATGCTGTAATGTTATCCATCTTGCTATAGTTGGTCAGGACTGCCACAGCAGCAAGAACAGAATTAGTTTCATAAGTCTGGTTAATAATTTATGTTAATGATCTTTACTGCTCAACACACAAGTCCATAGACCTTACAATGTGTGTACATTGTATAATTGCATGCAATTTAGATGAAAATAAATAGATTTTCTGATCGTATGAAATGTATTACTAAGCAGTACTGCACAATATCAATCTGCACAATATTCATATCTCAAATGACAGATTGGAGAGCAGTTATTGTTGGACAATAATCCAAGTGCTGTGAATGCAATTGAACAATGTCTCATGAGAACAGAAGCTCACATTGGGTGTAATGCTGTTGCCCAAAATGGTAAAGGTCACCTTATGGAAACATAAATGAGAAAGAGAGGAAAGAAAAAATATGCATGTACTGCAACTGATTTTGTCATCGTTATATTTACCATTATATCGTCGTCACAAGATGTTCTAATATTGTACAGCCCTAATTGTATACGATGTCTTTATTAGGCTACTAACTAATCTGATCAAAGAATGGTGAAGTTCTCTTTGATTTTTCTGTTTTTCTTAAGAAAGGCTAAAATGTTTTTGACAAAAGCACCACCAGACCGCATAAAAGCGAAATGTATATTTCAGTAATGCAGAGAACGAGCGAACCAGCAGAAGAAATAATACTTCTGGAATAAAAGGTATCAGATAAATGCCTCAAACGTCCTGCCATACTGCTGTTGCCTCACTTATTCCGGTAGCTCTAACTACAGGCCGCAGCCAGGGGCTGCTCTCCTCATTGCTTGAGACTTGTTGGTTTGCCTATTTCTGTGAGCTGCTGGTGTTGCGCCCCCTTTCGGTAGATGTTATTACACACAAGGTTCATTTTTTATGTATATATAAGCTGTCGTCATCCTCCTCATCATCAACGCGGTAGAGTAACATCATAGAGTAATTCGGCTAAGCGAAAAGGTGGTTCTTTTTTACTGTAGGTGAGTAAATAGCATCTCTGTTTCCTACAACGATGAGGAGAAAACTCTTACGTGGCTGTTTAAATTGGATTAGATGAAGCTAAAAGTAGCCACCAGCAGAAAATAACTCAAAAACAGTTCGGAGGCTTGTTTCTAACACCCAATGCTCAAATTATTGATCGGAGAGTCTCTTCCAAATGCGAGTTTGAAAACACGGTTTATGTTCCGCGGCTCTCGCCTCACATTTACTCTGCATTTGATGCTGGAAGTGGTTAGCATGGCTAGTCGCTAAGCTAATTAGCTAAAAGAGCTAACTTACAGAAACCCATTATCGGACAGACTCTTTAGCTTTGGCTTGATTAGCCTAAAATTATGACGCCTTTAGGTTTCGTGGTGACTATTTGCTGTTCTTAAATGTAGCTATTTCGCACAAATTCTCTACTGTATATACACAATCCTGGTTTATTAAATCGTGACTTCAGTGGTGAAATGAATCGTGTTCGCAGAAAGCAGACAGGGATTCACCACTGACATCCAGGGCGCGGTGTCTTTACCCATCATCATTCGACCAGAGCCACTCTGGTTTCTGAGCGCTCATAGCATTTTTAGTACCTACTGTAATTTCTAATTTAATCCGTTCCTCCTTTTATACAACTTTTCTAATTCACACTGTCCGGTCGCAATCTCTTTATTCATTTACTGTATTACAGAAAAAAAAAACGTTTACTGCCTTTTTCATATGTGTTTTGTTTCTGGAGAGACATTTTTCAAAGCAGTCTGATTCGTACATTTCCCAACTTTTTGATGGTCTTTAAGTGTACTTCTTTGCTACACCTTTAATTCAGTCTCTGTAGCCAATCGTATGAATTATTCAATCATAGATGGTGACTTACATTACATATCTGAAGACAGTACGCGCTGGTGGTCAATTCTTATTTTATGAACAAAGCTGAAGTTGGTTTCTGATTCCACCTTATTTTTCACTACCTTTAGCGTATTTAATATACTCTAGTTCAAAAGCTACAACACACAGACTCTTCAAACCTGGATTGGAGTATTCTGCTCTAATAGCAGAATATTTAAAACCATGTTTGTGATTTGTGAAACTTCACTAAAGATTACTATTCACACTTGTTCAATGCAGTTATTTTTTTCTAATTCAAAACCACTTTATTAATCCCAAAGGGAAATTAAATGTCAGTGTAGCTCATTAATTCTTGAAAGAGTTATTGTAGATGTTGATGGCTGTTGGAAGGAAAGATCTTCTACAGAGATCTGTACAGCACTGAACCCATTATCGAAGAAAACAACTGTAGACCTGTAACCCTGACATTCCACAACATGAATGTCAGGGTTCTGGAAAGAATCCTGTTGGCCCACCTGAATAAGCAGACAAGGATATATCAAGACCCCCTGCAGTTTGCTTATTACAGTGGAATTGGAGTTGATGATGCCACGATACAGGAATTTGAGGTAGTTTCTTTTCCGTACCAATGTATGTGGACACACAAAGCTATTGAAATACTAATTTGGAATCAGATTGTTGTATAGACGTGAGGCAAGTCGTTCCAGATTCTGTGATTTTTAAATTGATACCAAACATGGGGAGAAAAATGTTCCTCCCAGACAAATGTTATCCATCTTCCGCTAACCTTCAACCGACAACCAATTTTTATCTAAGTTTTGCTTGAGAATCATCTTGTTGCTTCTGTCATCATTGGCATTTTGCACTAAACCAAGTGAGTAAAAGGGGAAAAATTGTGAAATCACTTAAAGATTCAGTTTGAAATGACTTCTTTGCTTAATTGCCTGTTAATGTTTGGACAAAATACTGGCTCATCACCAGCAATTTTATGCCTACATGACTCAATGGTTGGCATTGAGGGGATTAAGCAATAAGTAACATTCAAATGAATTAAAAATCAATGAAAGCCCATTTATACCGAAGGAAAAACCTTAAGAAAATTAAGGAAATTTTGTTCAAGACTTTAAATGATCCAGTTCTTTTTATTGCTTTCCTCCGTTATACCCCCGCAATGTGTTTTATTTTTCCTTCATTTCCGTCACACTGTCACGTTTAATCAGCAGTTTGTTGGTAACCATCCTGATCTCTGCCTTCTTTCCTTAGCCAACAGAGGATCTGCAGCCCTGTATCCTAAACAGGAGGACGAGCTTTTCATCATGAACTGCGACATAGATGGTACGTCTTACGCCATGTTTTTGCATTAGATAGAATTATTATATGTGCTGTACGTTTAATTGTAACACTATAAATTTGTGTTTCAGGAGACCTGGAGAACCAGGCTGAGATGGAGGAGAAGACGAGGTTGATAAACCAGGTTTTGGAGCTGCAGCACACACTGGAAGGTAGATGAAAGCTTCCACTCTACATTTTAATGACAGGAAGTTTTACCTATCCCAGATGGGAACTCGTCACATTTATTAAGAGATGCTACAAAGCCCCAACCAACCAGAACACTGTAAAATAAACTGTTTGCTGTTGGATACGAGTGCACCCAATCTATCAAACCAGCATAAAGGGCAAGTTTGTTCAGTACACCAGCTTAGAGGTCACTGCAGCTCCTCCAGAGTTACCATGTTGTTTACAGAACAGCTGCATGAGATTAAACTCCAGATTAGCTTTTACATGTTTGTATGTCTTTCAGTTGTTCTCCTTGGTTAGTCTAGCACATACGATACATTCATTTGTAACAACAAAAGTGAAAAAGATTAAGGTATCAGTAGTTTTCAGAAACTTGTCGCAAGATCTCCGGGGTGTCCGAACAAACTTTTAAGTCTGATTATCATGTTTCAGATCTATCGGCTCGAGTCGACGCGGTCAAAGAGGAGAACCTGAAGTTGAAGTCGGAGAATCAGGTCCTCGGTCAGTACATCGAGAACCTCATGTCGGCCTCCAGCGTCTTCCAGACCACCGACACCAAGAGCAAGCGGAAGTGAGGCGGAGTGGAGCAGAAGGTGGCTTCCCTGGGGACACGGAGCGGAGGGGGTTGGAGATCCCCGTAACCATTTACCTGAGTCAGAACTAAGCAAATGTAAATATGAAAATAACGTCTGTAAAATACTTTTCTTTGTGTTTTTTTTTTTTTTTGAACCCACCAACATTGGGACATTTTGTTGTGCCTCAATTTAAACTTGGTGTTCTAAAATGAGTTTAACATCAAACATGTTACCGTGAACCTTATTATCAGCGTTAATTTAATTCATTTTTGTATATTCTGTTGTTGGACAGCTGGATCTGGTACTTCAGTTGGCCTTGAATCTCATGATGCTCAACTGTTTTTCTCTACTTGCAGCTGATTCGCTGACCAGTGTTATGCAGAAGGAAAAATGTGTAATAATGGCATGTTTGAGCAATATCTTAAGTATTAACATATATAAAGAAATGTCCCTAAATTTACCAGTAAACCGGATAAAACTGAGGGAGTTCGCAGAGCTTGGTGATGATAAGGAAAGCACAGAGGCTAAAAGCTAAACTATCAATTATGTTTTCATTGCTACTAAAAATTTTGTTTAGTTATTCAAGATGGAAATGCAACCGAGATTCGATTCCTTGTTCCTCTAATAGTGATGGAGGGAACATAACAGGTCAAGCAACACGATGATGAGGGAAGACGGAGATACTTTCAGAGCAGCAGCAAGACGGGCTGAGAGTGGTATTGATCCGATCAGTTTAGCCTGGGATGTATTGCCTGCTAGGAGACGGGCGCTAAAACTCATCTTCAGTGCGCAGTGGCAGACAGGGCGTGTCCGAGCCATCAAAGGAAAGGGGAGTCGAAAAGATCGTGAATGAAAACTGGATTTTAATGCTGCTTCAAAATCGTGCGTGGACACGGTGCTGTACAAAAACAGCTTCTGTTCTGTCGCATTTTAATGTATTCTAATAGGATTGTATGTGATAGACCAAAGTAGAGGACAACAGCCGTTATTTATCGGAAGGAAATAAATATTGAGAATCCTGAACTGTTGCGAGAAAGAAGCTCTAGTTTTACTTTCATGATTGGTTCCGTGAGATCATCCTGATTTACAGTGGTGTGCAGAGATGTTTTGGGGGGTAAGGTGCTCACATGGCACTGTAGTGTGAGATTTTAATACAGGCAAAGATACAAATATATGGGGAAATATAGGCTTTTAAATCCAGAAAATGCTACCTTGGGCTTTACACTAAGGAAATCAAAACGACTATTTCAGAAGGGCACTTTGTTTGGTTCAGAGAAAGGAGGGCAGGTGCTCTAGCGCCACCTATTGTCCATTTGTGCACATCTGACTTGCATTTTGTATTTAGTCCTCCTCCTTTGAGTCAATGCTTAGGATTTTTGAGCATGCCTGTCCACAACTTGGCACATCCAGAGGCTTTTTGCCCATATTTACAAAATGGCTCCAAACTCTGATGGGACGGAGTGCGTCTGTGATCACTGGGTTTTAAGTGATCATAGACTTAAAACCCAGTCTTCACCCCCTTATAGTTAACGGGGTGAAGACAAACGCTTGCCATGCTTTTCAGATGTGTAACATTTTGTAAACCATGTACTGTTTTCTTTCATGTCCAACTTTGCGTCAGTTTATCAAACCAAATGCTGATTTGGTTTGATGAACCAAATCAGGTTTGTAAGAGTCAAAGTTCAAAAGGGGTTGGGGGTATAAATACTCGTGGAATGGTATGTTGTGGCTTTTCAAGGTTATTTTTATACTTTAAGCAGTTATGTGTCATGCTGGCATGCTAATTTCCTCCTTTTTACACACTAGCTAGTCATGTCTTGTGTCCACATTTGCCTTTTAAATGTTTTTTTTTGTTTAATTAAATCTCACAGTTACCACTCCAAGTCTTATCACCTGCACAGACCTACTACAGTAAAATAAAAATATTCCCCAAAACAGACGCAATGCATCCGATTTTATTTTGTATTAAATAAGTTTTATTTCCAAGAGCAAATGTACAAGTTGCAAACAAATGTAAACAGGGGTTAAGTGCCAACATGTGGCTGGAGGGTGAACTACAAAAGCTTTAGACGGCGATAAAAAAAACAACACAAAGATCGATGCATCTCTTAGATCTAATTACCAGCTCGAAGAGGAAAGCACTGCTGCAATGTTTTTTTTCTTCATTTTATTTCCTGCCAAGGCAAAGAAATAATGCTACTTTAGCTGCAAGCATCGACTTTGTCAGTTTTCTATTTTCAATTTAAATATTTCACAGACCTCTGCTCACAGTAAGCACATCAGTGGCACATATTTGTGGAAAGTTGCCTCAAGCCTTAAAACACTTTAATATTAAAACCTTTATTCATACCGGTGAGAAACAGTCAAGTCGAAACCAATAAATAAAACAGCGGAGCTAATTTTCAACTCAACACTAATAAAATAAATAAAGAAACAGATGCTCATTACAAACTAAAATGTAGATTAGCAATGCATTTCATCTGGAATCTTAACCGAGTTGAGTTGAATCCGTTAACCTTTGCTCTCAGCTCAGTTTCAAACATTTTTAAAACAAGAACTTCCTCTTCAAACTTTTCCCCTCAATTCAAGGATTTATGTGAATAACCTCAGAGAGGGCCCCTGCGATATGCGATAAAGAAAAAAAAAAACAGTGATCACCACTGTTGGGACTCTGCTGCTTTCATAAACCGATGGTTTATGAAGAGAGAGAGAGTGAAAACAGAGGTGGAAGACGCCGACTTTTTGACGACTTCTGGAACAGAATAAGGTTGTGTAGGGGAGGGAGAAAAATATTTTAAAAACTATCAATGGAAGCTAGAAGTTGGTGGAGGAAGAAACGCGTGACCTCCGGGAAGCTCGTCCGACTGAGCGGACGGGAGGAAGGAGAGCCGCTGGACGGGGTGCGTGGGTCTGTGAGGCTGCAAACCTGGGCAGAGTGGGGCAGGTGGAGCTGAGACACAGATGGGGCAGCCGGGTGACTGCAGGCTACCGTCGGGGTTGGAGGAAACGCCGTGCTGCTCCGCTCAGGGAGGAGGGAGCAGCTACAACAGAGAAGACCCCTTTCGCCTCCTCCCCCCCCGTCGAGGAGAAGAGACAGCAGACGCTGGGCTCGCCTCAGTCTTTCCGTACCCTCCTCTTTCTGACGGCTTGTTTGTGGCTCTCTTCAGCGACGTCGCCTCCATCTTTCTGCTGAATGATTTGACAAAAGAGAAGCTGCGGTTGACAAATGAGTCGCTTTCAGTGAACCCAGTGGAAACCGAAGGACGAGTTTTGTCTTCACTGTGGATCATCCACAGGTAATCTACACTTTTCTCAGTCCTTATTGGTCTAGCTGTAATAGGAGTGCTGAAACTGCAAAGCTCAGATGTTCGCAGGGCTGAAATGCTCGATCGGATTGAAATGGTCGTCAACTGCATTTAGAAATTGATTCGTCTTCAACTGGAGCAAAGACTCAAAAAAGGCCATTTGCTAAAAAACATGGAGCAGTAATTTAAGATAAAAACACCTGCCTGCATATATGTTTTCCCCAGATTCACAAATGGAATTCTATATTATTGCATATTAAGCACTGAATTGTTTAACTTTATCTTAAAAAAGGAATTACATTATTTATTTGCATCTTCTAACGTATTTCTATTATTGTGTAAAAAATGTCCTTGCTTACGGAAAGATTTACCACAAACGGAGCATGAGACTCTCACCTCATCTTCTAATGTTCTTTCTGGAGTTTTGTTTTCCTCCGATTCTTCTTCCTCTTCCTCCTCCATCTCTTCTTCTTCGTTATCAGCCCCCACTTGATTGTCTCCCTGTCCGTCACTCTCCTGCCTCTCCCCTTCGTCTTGTGCTTTAAAAAGAAAAGCGACGGTGATGATGAGGGTGAAGGACAACGCCGCAGTTGAAGTTGGAACACCGACAGATAATAGTCACACCTGCTGCCGGTTCTCCAGCTCCAGCTTCCTTCTCTTCCTCATCTGCTTCTCCTTCCTCTTCCTCCTCTTCTTCCTCTTCTATGTGAGACTGCGGTTGATCGACCCGTCTGTACACGTAGTCGTCCACTGGTTTCTGGAAATGATAACAGCCAAGTCAAGCAGGACCTGTGAGATGGAGTCGTGTCGGTAAAGATCAGGAGGTTCTTGCCACCTTCGGCCAGCAGAAGAGCACCGCCAGTCCGACGGGCAGACCGACTGTCAGGACGTAGATTATCCAAAGCCAGGGTCTCTCCTCCGCTGCCATCATCAGCTGAGAAAATATCCCTGGCTGTTAGGATTAAAAACAAGAGACCGGAGATGAGCCTCGCAGAAGCAGGACAGCACACGATCGGCCCAACCGTCCCCCACTGACCTCGTTGGCGCTGGCCACCAGTTTCTTCAGCCCCCAGCTGTCTGAGGCCCAGCGGTCGGCCACCTCCTTGTGAGACGTGATGATGAAGTTGTCGAAGTAAATGTCTGAGGTCATGGACCACAGCTCCAGCCCCAAAGCCTTAAACGAAGTCATCCTGAACGGCTGCAGGTCCTCGAAATATTCCGGGTTCATCATTTTGCGCGGCTTCCAGACTCCCTGCAGGGCGGACGTGGTTTCATGACAGGAACGTCGCAAAAACACAGACGGTTCACGAGAAGGGTTCCCGTTACCTGATAGTGGGGGTTGTCAATCAGAGGGGCTTTCCACTTGCCCTTATACTGAGGGTTGTTGATCATCGGCCGCTTCCACTCGCCGCAGCCAGGAGCCGTCTCACAGGATGGGTTAGGAACCTGCGGGGCCTCCCACTCCCCGTCCATCTCCTCGTCCCTGCCCCACCATCCAACCAGCAAACAGCAATCAGACCAACACATCACTCCGCTTTATTGAACACACATTGTTGGTGCCGGTCGGTTCAAGGACCCACCAGTCCTCTGGTTTCTCTGCATTCGGGTCAGAAACGAACTCTGGCTCATCATCCAGCCAACCTTCTGGCTTCAAGGCATCAGGATCCTCAATCTTTGCAGGAGCATCCTCGTCCCTGGAGGTGAAAGAGAAATGCAATAGCAGATTTTATTTGAGGCTCAGAACGTCCAGAGTGTTTTAGAGACCTTTTATAATCACTGCTTTATAAATGATGTGTAGAAAGGTTTATGGCTGAATCATTTCTCTCGCTTGTTAAAGAATGAACTGTTTGGGTTCCAGAAATGTTTACCTCTTATCATAAAAACTTCTTGTCCTCTGGGCTCTTTTACTTTGACTCTTGTTTTTATGTTAGATGATGAG